GTTTCTCTGACAGGAGCTGAGTGTCACTTCCATGAAATAAAACAGCATCTTATTATCGGGCAGAGTGGAAGGGCCGGCGTGGGGAAAGAGTGTCGACAGCCAGCCGTGCGGGGCTCCGAGCGCCCGAGCCTGCCCTGCGCCGGGGGGCGGCGAGGAGCCCGTGCACTCGGGAGCCACACCGCAAACCGGCTCCTTGTGCTCTCCAGCAACGACGACTGCTGTCACCATCAGAACACCTAAGGGGCCACTTGCCGAACTCGGCCAGGCCCGGGCTCAGAGTCTCTCCTGTGTGTGCTGGCAGTGCACGCCTGGGGCCACCAGAACAGACTGGAAAGTGAGTTGGCCCCTTGTCAAGCTACCCGCACCCGTCGCCCCGAGCTCCGAGCAGTGTCCGCTAGCACAGACCGTCTCTGGTGCTTTGATGTGTGTGCGTCTGCGGCCAGAAAGCCGTCATCCCGCAAGCCCCCGACCCCGGCACAGAGCCCCCCCTGCACAGGCCTGAGGGGAAGCGCGGGAGACTCCACGGTCACCTGACACAGGTACCGTCTGCTTAAGAAGAGGAGCGCCCAGCACTCTGCTCTCAGACGCCCGCTAGAACCCTCTGGCCACGGAGCAGCCGCCCCCTGGGCCGGCGCAAGGGCAGCACCAGCGCAGGACGCAGGCCCCCCTCACTCCTGAGCCAGCGCATGGGGGCAGAAGAGAAGCGGCCACAGGACGCGCTGCGGTTCCCACGCGGCCCGGGGTGGGCACCGAGCCTCGTTGCCCTCCCCGTGACCACTGTCCCCAGCCAAGACGTGGGTGCTATCGCCGCTCCGCTGCCGGACAAGGACCTGCTACATGAACAGCTGAGAGGAGGAAGGTGAGGGTCCCGACGGACGCAAACCCTTCGGACTTCGCACAAAGCTGGAGAGGGACCACCGCGTGGGGACGGCTGCCTTCACAGCAGGAGCGCCCCCGGCCCATGCGGGGGGTCTCCCTTGCGACCCCTTCCACAGCCATGACACATCCTGAAAAGGGCAGAACCAACCCATCCTTGGGCCCCGGGTGGCCTCACCCTGCCAGCCGAGCCACTCCATGTCCTTCACCGCCTGAACCCCCGGTCCAGCACCTCTCGCCCCCCACCCTCAGGGCCCTGGCTCTGCTGCTCTTCCTCTGGGGGCTGCTGGTTCTGGGCCGGCGACCTCCCCAGCCCCCTCCCCGACCAGTTCCCCCTTTCTAGCTGTCCCCTGGAAGCTGGAAACAGCTCTGCTCCCAACACCCGGAACCGCCAGCCCCTGCTACATGCAACCCCACCATCTCCACGGCTGGGCCCCAGCTCTCAGGTCCCGCGGCCGCTCTCATCACGCCTGAAACCTACAGCCCTTGTTCTAAATGCTACTCCTCTTCCTACGTGAGCCCGGAGCACGGGGCCGCGGCCGAGCAGGCAGCCGCTCCGCGATGAGAGGCTCGGAGCCCGTCCACAGGCTGGGAAGAGGCATCTCCGTGGAGGGCCTGGGGACCTGGCAGGGAGGAGGACAGACACCCGTGGGGGAACGGGCAGGATACAGGAGTCTGACGGGGGTGCAGACAGCAGGGAGGAGAAGCCGCCTCATGTGAGAAACCGTATCAAGGCTGTCAGAGGAGGGAGATACAAACACGGAAAAGTCCTGCCGGGCTGGAAAGGAGACGGTTCTTAAGCTGCACCCACAGTACAGAAATACAGACGTGAACGTGGGTACACAGACACATGCGTGCGCACACACACATCAGGGAGAGAGGGAGCAACGAGGCACTGGTTCCCATGAGGACACCAGCACCCAGATCCCAGTTTCTAAATCTGGATGTCGCCGACGGGAACTGGGCTCCTGGGAAGCGTGCTCCGTGCCCGGACGGGGCGGAAAGCAGCAGCCGGAAGTCAGGACTACTCGACAGCAGCACGAGACAAGGGCCACACGAGCCAGTGGGCACAGGGCAGCCTGGCAACTGGGCACATCGTGGTGAGCAACGGCACAGCAGACTGTGACCCACCGAGTGAAAAAGGAAACCGTGAGCTCGCGCCGAATGCGCTGGACGTCAGGCGAGGCCCACCCACACAGCCGCGCCCTCGTCTCCAAACCGGTCTGATTTGCAAAGGGGGAGGGGGGCGCTCAGCAGAGGGTTCCGGCAGCACCGCTACATCGAGCGGTAAGCAAGTCAGCTGCATAACCGGTACCAGGACAAACACACTGTGTGCCACCCGGCAGGGGCCGTGGAGGAAGGCAGAGCTCTCCTGTGACACTCCGCGGCTCCTCAGGAAACAACAGAACAGAGCACTCCACCAAACCCAGCCTGTGACCCTCCAGGTGTCACGGTCATGGGCATCAAGGAAAGACGGACAACCTAGTCCGATTTGGAGGGACTAAACCCAGGGCATCGCACAGCGCTGAGCCACGTCCCTGTGCCACAAACAGCATCCTGGGACCAGGGACACACCCGAAGGCACCCCGGTCCCCCCTGGTGGTGACGGCCACACTGGGGTTACGCTTGTGGGAATCACAGTAACTCACAGGGGTGGACGGGCAGGGCAGGAGCAGACGCTCGTACAGAACAGGGAAAAAGCTCCTTAGCTCTGTGCTGGCAAGTTTGGGAATTTTTTTTTTTTTTTCAAAATAAAAATTAAAATATGTACTGCTAGATACCACTGCAAATTTGCTGAATCCAGTGTCCAGGAATCTTCTTTCTCTTATTCCACACTGTTAAAACCACATCAGAAGGGCCAGCCCTATTCACTTTCGAAATAAAGGGCAAACACGAATTTTTTAACTTAGAAAAGGTGCCCGTCCTTTTGAATTCAAAATCCACTACGATTAGTTCAGAGTAGATTACATTGCTAACTGGCAGAGTAATTTTAAAAACATGGTATAAAAAATCTATTCACCTCTGCTCAGCTGGGAGCCTGCTTCCTCCCCCTCTCTCTCTGCCTGCCTCTCTGCCTACTTGTGATCTCTGTCAAATAAAAAAAAAAAATTTTTTTTAAATCTATTCATTTCCTGGACTTTTCAAGGCAAGGAGGAAATAAGGAATTCCTTTCATTTTCACAGACATTGTCCCATAAACACCCATCGAAGACACTGTGAGGTACGAGGGAGGGCTCTTTTGATTTCTTGGGCGGGGGGCAGAGAGAAAAAGCCCAGAGAATCGAATGGAAGCCGAGGGTCCTCACCGGGAAGGTACAATTCCATATTCAGACACCTGGACCCACAGGATCCCAGAGGGTTCACGCATCTCCGGGAGCACACCCTGGGATCCAGGTTGAGGAGCATTGTTCTGGACACCGAAGGTAAGAGTACTTCAAGAGGGAGAAAATAGAACACAAGTGGTAAAATCCAGCTTTCACAAGGGGTAAATGAAGTGGAAACAGTCAGTGGTGGCTAATAAGAAGTCAATTTCACAGGCACAGACACCGGGATGTGGCAGAAAGCCAAGAAGGTCTCTAGGGAAATCAGCCACGGGAGCAGCTACTCTGTCTCTGGGCGTGGGGAACAAGAGGCCTGGGCTGCAGGCGGGGAGGCTGTGAGACAGAGACGATCACCCTAAGACCCCAGAGACAGTGAGACTGGCAAGCAAAGTGAGAAAAACAATACCGTTTGCAATTCAGACTAGAATATAGGCTTCCGCTCCCCCGACCCTGTCCCATCCAAAATAGAGTGTTCCTCCCACACCTCTAGTAAGCCAATCACCACTTCTTGCCAGCAAAACCCTCTGGGGGTTCTTTCAGTGAGCAAAAACATCCTCTAATGGAGGTTTTTTCCTTAAATCCAATCCCCACAAGGCTGGCCTTCACATAGCAGAGGAAATATGTCATTTGTAATTTTTGTTTTTTAAAGCAGATGAAGGGATTTTCTGCTTTTGCTAAGAGATGGAAAACGCTGGAGGGGGGAGGGTGCTGTTGTCCCCAATCCTATCAAGAACTAAATGATCCACAAAACAAACAATAAAAACCCCACACTTCACTGTTAAATTGTGCCAAAGTTCAGAGAGAAAATAATCCCCAATTCACTACAAACTCTTCCGTGAAACAAACAACGGGACTACTTCTCAACGCATTTAAATGAGGGCATCATTATCTTGCTTCCAAAACCAAAAAAACACATTGCAGGAAAAGAAAACCACAATCCAATACCAGTCATAAACACGGTTGGAAAAATTCCTTAACAAATTATTCGCCATCGAATCCAGCAATATATTAAAAAGATAACGCCAGGCATTCAAGGTTGGCTTAACACCCAAGACTCCACCAGCGTCATTCACCCCATCAACAAACTAGACGGGAAAGCCAGGTGATATGTCAGAGATGTTGAGAAAGCACTTCGTAAGAATCGGCATTCTTTTTTTTTTAAGGTTTTATTTATTTATCTGAGAGAGACAGAGAGAGAGCACAAGTAGGCAGAGCGGCAGGCAGAGGGAGAGGGAGAAGCAGACCCCTGCTGAGCAGGGAGCCCGATGTGGGGGGCTCGATCCCAGGACCTGGGGATCATGACCTGAGCCGAAGGCAGCCGCTTAACCCACTGAGCCCCCAGGCGCCCCTCGGCATTGATTCTTGACAAAAAACCTTCCAGCAGACTAAGAAACATCCCAAATGCTCACCCCTCCCGCGACACCGAGCTGCTAAGCACTGGGCAGGCCTTCCTCAGGGAGAACCAGGCCTCCTTGCAGTGCGCACAGGAAACAGCCGCTCCGTTTTTTTTAAAGGTATAGGAAGCTACTACCACGTGCAAATTTAAAGGAGAAAATGCTGTAACCCAATAATCATTACTTCCTAATTGCCCCTGAAGCGCTTCATGCAAGACAACTCATACCTTAAAGGTTCTCAAAAAAAGTTGAAAAAGAAACGAAACTCTGATTCACGAAAACCAGGGCTGGCCTGCAGCGGACTCAGTCAGCGGGGGCGGGGGGCCGGGGGTTTAGGGCAAGCCCCGCCCAGCCCAGAGCCCCCAGGGACGCCCGCCCCAGCGCACGGAGGAGGGAGGGGCCGCACCTACCGATCCAGCACTCCAAACGCGCACAGGGGGTCGTCTTCACCACATCCGGAGGGTCCACGCCGACATTCAGGCATAAAACTAAGGCCACACTGACCGTCTTCATCTGGAAACACAACAGAAACAAAATTATTCAATATGCATCCCACTGACACACTCTTCCAACTCAGAGATGCTCCTAGAACACATGAAGCCCTGCCCCCATCGCTGGCCTCTGCAGCTGTCCTGGGCCGCCCCCCCCAGGTCCTGCCGGAGCAGCTTCCCCTCTGGAGGGGTTTCGGAGCAATGGGGGCAGGCAGGAAGAGGTCCACAGCGGGAGAGGCCTCTGCAGGCTTCCTTACAGTACGTGTCCAGAAACAGAACTACTTGACTGAAAAATAGGAAGCCACGTGCTACATTCTGCCAAAGTCCTTTGCAAAAACGTTGCACAAACTTACACTCTGACGAGGTTATGCTACCCTCATTATTTAAAGCCATTCTGATTTGGGGAGAGAAAAGTCGTCATACTCATCCGGTAGCATTCTTTCGGTATTAGTAACACTGGAACTTCTTCCAATGTGTGGTCACGATTTGTGACTTTCTGTTTTGTGGATTTCCTACTCGTGTCTGTACCATGGCACTGGTACTACTGACTATTCCCAGCTGACTTTGTGTACTCTACATAGGAAAGGCTCCATCCACATTATTTGTTGCAAATATTGCCCTAGTCTGGTGTTTGCCATCCAGTTCATTTCCTGACTCTGGACGTACCAAGCCTTGGTTCTATCATCTGACGCAGCTTCCCGAAGATCTGACCTGTTCCTTCTCCAGCGGCCCGGCGTGAAGAATGTCAGCCCTCCCGCCCCAGCTGCTCAAGCCAGAAACCTGCAGCTCATCCTTCAAACGTTTCCTGAGCACCTGCTAGGTGCCCATCACTATTTTCAGGCGGTGAGGATACATCCATAAATCAAAGGAGCCAAAATCCCAGCAGAGGGTCGTAGGGGTGTCACTTCAAACAGATGCGAGGGCTCCGAGCTGGTTACCAGCCCTGACCCCCCCGACCCCTGTTCTTGAACAGCAGAGACCACCCCTGACTCCCCACCCTGCCTGCTTCATCCCACCTCTTAACTGCCTCCTGGGCCCGTCCCCTTCACTATCTCTGCTCCCAGCCACAGCCAAGTCCACGCCAGCTCTAGGCTGCAGTGGCCTCCCCTGCCACCCCGTCCCCAGGGCGGGCTCGGCGATACAGCAGGAGCATACCTTCACACGCACCTGCTCACTGCCCTGCTCTGTCCGTCCCAAAACTTCAACACCCCCATCTGAACTGCTCAGCGCGCCCAGATCTTGAGAACCCAATTCCTGCTGAGCACACCACCCGCCTGCCATGGCCCTGCCCTCAGTGGCTCCACGTCCTCCGCCCACTTGGCATGGCCTGGGGTGTGACCTGGAAGCCTGCCCTCCCACTCTACCAACCCCGACTCTCCCTTGCGGTCTCTGTGCAGACAGCCATGTCTCTAGGACGCTGGTCCCCAAACCCCAGTGGGGGCTGTGCCACCCAGCACCGTGCTCTCCCGCTGGCAGGGTCCTCAGACCTGGGCTTCCGAGACCAGAGTTGACCCCCATGGACGCCAACATCCAGTACCTGCCCGGGGCCCAGGACATCCCGCTCAGTGAGGGATTTCTGGGGTGTTTTAACATGTTTTGCGTTTAACCCTTCAAGCCATCTGGATGTTGCTGTGCTATATGACACGCCAGGAGGAACAGTTTCTGTCTCAAAACCCTAGCCAATCACACCAATTCCCCCTGTTAAATAATAATCCCCAAACTCCTGGGTTTGTAGGACGCCTATAGCATATATAAATTCTCAGATAAAACAAATTCTACTTCAGGCTAACTGAATGTATCCCGTCATCACATCAACAGTACTTGTACTGGCACCACACTGATTTAAGTTCTCTGTATAACATTTCACAATGCTTGGGAGGGAAGTTTTCCTTTCTCACAATCTTTTTTAAGGTTTTACTTAGCTTTATTTATATTCATCTCTTTTCTTCACAAATTAATCAGTTAGTTATTCAATTTTTTAATCCCATAGAGACTTTGACTAAAGTTGCATTAAACTGCATATTGGTAACACTAAGCATTTTAAATTGTCTTCTTTGATCCGAGAATTCCACCTGTGAGAATTTGTCAGACAAAAATACCAAAAAATATAATAAAGGGGAAGTCTGTAGGTGTAAAGATTTTCTTCACAGCATTTCTTATCATGAAGAACAAGTAGAAATGACCTAAATTTTAAGCAGATAAGGGAATGTTCAAGCACACCATTATATTCTCTTAACAGAATGACACTTGAATTCTTATAATGTTAAATGAACAAAAATTGATTCAAAAACACCCAAAAAATCGTACTAAACATATAAATTAATTTTGGCAAGAAGTGACAACCTAATACTCAATTTCTCTATACAGGAACACAGTGTGTTTCTCCATTTATTCAAATCTGCTTTTGTCAGTACTGTTTTCTTAGTTTTCTTCACCAAGAAGTCCTGCTCATCTCTTTTAGGATTATCCCTGGACACGTCATAGACGTTTGGGGCAAGCGTTCTTCTACGAGTGTATTCTCCCCATCGTGGTTTCTCGGGATAGCCGCGAATGCCTCTGTTAGTCACTTTATTAAATTCCTCATTAAATGTAATTACTTCTTGGTAACCCTCCACAGGGCCTGTAGCTGACAAAGAAACTGCTACGAATAATGAGTCAGTCTCGTCCCTTCCAACGGCTCGTTCCTTTCTACCTGCTTCAGGTGTAGGCGCTGCCCACAACTTCCAGAATACGGTCGCTAACGCCTACAGAACATGGCAACGGCGAGCTTCGTGCTGGTTCTAATGAGATGTCATGAGTGTGTCTTCATGGAGAATGCGGCGGGGACAGGAGACACACGTATCACCACCTTCCAGAAGCTCGTGCTGGCGCGTTTCACCGACAAAAGACCTCTGAGCGCGAGTACTGACGCACCTGTTCCCGACAACCAAAACCCAAAGGGGGTTTTTGCTTTTACGAGACAAGGCGACAGGCAAGAAGCGGAAAGGCGAGTGGAGCTGGCAGTGCAGCCGCAGCCGTGGAGGCGGTGCACCTGCCCTGGGGGCCACGCACAGCACCTCGCGTCCCGCACCCCCCATCCCAGGCTCTGGGCCATGTGAGAGAGCATCGGGGCTTCACCTCCGCTTACTGTGTGCATTAGCAAGATGTGTCCCTAAGGTCTCAGGAGAGCCCAGGACGCCATTTCTGGAGTCTGGAGATGCTCAAAAATGTTCTCCCCCATGAATGAATGTTCCTGTGCTTTCTGCCACTTCGGCTCAGGAGAGGTTTCATGGGAACGCACGGTTTTCGGGGAGCAGGGAACCGGCATAATCTTTATCGCATCAAGAAAAGATACGTGTGTTCAAAACAGAATTTAAAGTGTGTGAGGGGAGAGTATTCAGTCTTAAAATATATGTATTTCTTAATGATAAGTCGCTTTCTAAAGGAGCCATACGCCTGCTGCCAGAGACGGCCGAAAAGAACACCGTGGACGCGGGCCAGAATCTTCTCGTTATGAACCATAAAAAAAACAAATGGTCCCTTCATGGTCAGGAGAAAGGGCAGAAAATCAATCAGAGAACAGCGATGGCTATATTTAAGTGATCAGTATCGATGGTCCCACACTGCTGACCCTCCATCTTACAGCAAACTGGGCCTTTGAGCAGAAGCTGCTCCAAACCGGGAGCCCAGCGGAAACCTCTCTGTGGCCTTCCTATGGCCGTGGTGAGTCATACTGACAGCTGCCCGTGACATCTTTCAAGCGAGGGGTCTGTCCTGTGCTCTGGAACCGGGAGGTGTCGGGAGGCAGTCACCCTCACCCTGCAGCGAGCTCCAAGCCGCTTCACTCCGTCACCCCTGGGCCTGCTGGAAGGGACGCCTGCTCCGAGAAAACATCCACCTCTACGGGTCAGGTCTCATTTCCAAAAACATGGTCTGCCCCATCAGAGCTTAGTGGCTGTCTGTAATCTTACTTGGTCCTCCATCTGCAAGGGATTGGGCTCCGGAACTGCCAGGATCCTTCACAGGGCCCAGCCGAGGGAGCGACACGCAGCTACATGATGGGACGCCAACCCCACGGGGCCTCAGGTCCAGGTCGGCGCCTCTGAGCAGTGGGCCTGGCAGCCGCTCCAGCTGGCCCCGGGCGCTGGGAAGGAAGGGGGCACCCCGCTTCGGGGAATGCATGCTCAGTGAGCTCCCACACTCCCCTCACTTGTGCCTTGGGGATTCAGGGCAGGCCCCGGGCTAGGTCACCTCTGACCATTTCTGAGCAACTGCCTCTAGGTACACTCACCCCCTAATGGGCAGAGGGCCGAGAGACCTGAGCCCTCCGGCCACTGTAATCCTTTCCTAAAGGGCCCGGAACCCGGTGCTCATGTCTCCACCTGCTTTTTGGCGTAGCCTCCCTGGGGTCGGAGAGGTGGTGCAGGACGAGGCAGGGCATCTGCACAGTGCCCGCCAGCCCCGGGCACGGTGCCACCATCTTCCTCCTCAGCCGACACTCCAGACACATCCCCTTCCTCAACCTCTACAACCACACTTCATAAGCTTAAACACACAATTCTCGGTCAAATCATTTCTGATCTAATTACAAAATTAATATGTCAGAAAGTCTCTAAGGGCTTAGACAGAAATATTAATGGAAGCCCAGTGATCACCCTTTCATCCACAAGACGCTAAAGGGCCCCATGTCCCCAGGCCTGTCACCAAGCACAGTCTTCGATAGTGACTAGACGTCCCCGTGGCCACTCTGCAGGTGAGCAAAAGGACAGCGTGGCCCTCAGACTGTGAAATCCGCTCCCCTCCATCAGGGAAGACGCGGAAGGAGAGAATCTGACTTGTCCTTGCTCACACAACACACACCTGACCCTACATCTTGAGTGATGACTTTTTAAGAAAACAAGAGAGATCAAGAATATTCGGACACACGGATCAGAAGAACATACCTGGCAGAACCAATTTAATTCCACCAGCGGGAAACGCTACCAGTGAATATCCTTAAGCCAATCAAACACGTCTTGTGCCTCCTGTAAATTTCAGTCGTGC